GCCCCATCCCCCCATTTGTTAAAGTTTTGATTACTGTATTTTTATTGCATTTTCAGCCCATTTCACGACTTTGATGCACGATTTGCAGACATGATTTATCCCTGTCATAAAAGATGATAAATTTGCATGCTAGGATCTGTAAATCTGTATTTATTGATGCCATATATAAGCAAATGGGTTCAAAAGAGATCTCTGGCGTCTCATTAATTATGTCCTTGATAGTCACTACTTACACTCTTCAGGTATTAAAACACAAGCACACTTTCACAATTACACAATAAAACAAGGTACACAATATCGCAGTTGGGTTCCAACTTCACCTCACTTTGTTCTTATATCTCACTGACTGACTGGTGAGGCCCTGCCCCTTATATACCTAAGAGGACATAGCTGAAAACATTCTTAGTTCTCAGAAAGTCTGGAAGGTTCCATGAAATTCGAATTCCCATCAAATTGCGGCCACACTAACCCTAATTTGAAATGACAATATCGATTTTGGCACTACTCCGCTCGTTGGGGAGGAGTACAGAAATCGATTTTAAGAGCCCTTTATTTCGAAAGAAATGGCTTCATTGTGTGGATGGGTGCAGGGTTAATTCGATTTAAAGCTGCTAAATTCGAATTAAACTCATAGTGTAGACCAGGCCTAGGACACGAGGGGGCTGTCCCTTGGGAAAGTAACTAACCCCCCTCCTCTTAACCAGGAGTGGGACCCAGCATGCAAGGAACAAAACACTATAATACAAACCCCAACACATGAAAGGTCCCACCCAAAAGTAATAATGTGACTAAGGGGACTTTAATGGGACAGGAAACAGAGGCTCAAGGGAAGGAAAGGGTTGAAGTTAACTGATAAATGCTAAAGCAGTAATGATACAACCAGATCTCCACCTCCCCCTGTTCACAACTGTACCACAACCCCCAGCTGCCTCCGGCACCTTCCCAGGCAGACGGAAGTTCTAGGCTGATTCTGGAGATGGGTGTAGCAGTGCTGCAAACACTGGCCGGTTAACAAACACCCTCTTACAGTGTTTTCATCCCTGGGTCTGGCATGGTCCTCTCTGGGGTCCCTGGCTCGGTCCTGGCAGGTTCTCAGCTGGTTCTAGTAGTTGGCACCAGTTTGTTTCTCTGCCTCCCTGGATGCTGGTCTCTGCAGGACTGGAACTGCCTGGCCACGCACTGCCTGGCCATGCTCCCACAGCCGTACAAAGACCCCCGTGTGGGGAGTGGGAGTAACCAGAGGCTCCCTCAGTTGTTCTGCTTCTCTGAGCTCCAAACCCGAACAGCCAAAGTGAAACTCAGGGCATGTCTACAGTGTCCGGTGCTCGGACTCTGGGGGTATGAACAGCAGGGCTCACCAACGTGCTGTGACTCCCCTGCGCTGATGCTGCGGGCGTGAACTTACTGGCCCCGAGTTCACACTAATGTAGTTCTCTGAAGCCAAGGGAGGGGGGTGGGCTTCAGAGCCTGAGCTCCAGCCTGAGCCACGACTTCAAAGCGCTGTCTACACAGCTATTGTTAGAGCACTAGGGCAAGCCTGGCTCCCAAGTCTATCGACCTGGGCTGGGAGGCTCCGAATTGCTTCAAAATGCCATGTGGATACACCCCTAGTGGGTCAGTCCAGTGTTCCAGGAGCAGGCAAACCCCAAAGGGAGTTACACGTCCATTTTCAGCAAGGAAATGTTCCCTCTCCGGGGAACCTGGGCATCTATGAGAGCCACGTCGCTCAAAGCAGATAGAAAATGGGCAGCATGAAATCATTGCCCCGGGCTGAGTTTGTCATCTCCCAGGGGAACGAACTGAGTGGAGAAGGGGGCGGAGTGGGCTCAGCAGAGCTAGGCAGAGAAGGAGGAGTCTGATGGGATGGAGAATCCACCTGAGAAATGCTCACAACTGGCTGCATGCTAGGCGAAAGGGGAGGGGTCCACACAGGGCAATATTTGCAGATATTTGTATTGGTTGAATCTCCACTCAGGACCTGCCCATCCAGTCAGTTTTGCAGTTCTCTTTCCTTCCTCCGGGACCTGCCAACCCACCACTGATGGGATAATCCTGCCCCAGAAGTTCCCGGCTCCAACACCAGTTCTAAATCCTCCAGGCCAGGCTGCTTTCATTAATAAACTTGTGGGTCTGTTCGTGCTACTGCTGGGAAAACTTAGTTGCACAGAGAGCTGCAGATATGTTTTTGTACAGCACCTGGCACAATGCTACCACCATCCTGATCAGGGCCTCTGGGAGTCACTGTAATACACACACTGATAATCTGACAATTTTTCTTTCACCCCTGGAGACATGAGTTCAAATCCTGATTATGTCACAATTGAAACCCTGTTTGGTGGTTCCACCGGTGTTCCCAGTTACACCCAATACAAAGTGATCACAGGGTTAGAAAGGCTGAGGACTGTTGGAGCAGAGCTGTTCCAGATTGGGGACGGTAAAACAGGGCCGAGGCCAGCGACTGGGATAACTGATGCCTCCCAGGTCAGGATTGGAATGGGAGACTCTTGTACAGAACAGCCCTACGCCCTGTCTCGCTGCAGCCAGAGTGACCGGTGATGGAACGGAGCGCAGAGCTCATTCCCAGTGGCCCTGTGCCATGGGGGCTGAACGGATGACAGCGAGGGTGTCTCTGTGTTACAACATTTGCTGCTGCTGGACGGGGAATGTGTCCTAGTGATCTGCTGTGAGTCATAGCTGGAACCAAGGGAATCCACCAGATCCTCAGACAGGTGGGAAGCTTGTCACTCTCTCAAGCAGGGCCCCCAGTAACCCCAAGAGCGCACTGAGGGAAACTTGGCCTGCTCTGTGCTCTCAGCTCAGTGAAACAACCTCTCTTGGGTTGGCTCGGCCCCTTTAGGACAGAGCTATAAGGAGGGGGAGCCGCTGAGTGAGCAAGAGATTTGCATGAAGGGGCCGTTCTTCAGCTCTGGGGATTTAAGAGCGAATTGGAGGGTTCCTGGAAGAGAGACGTGATCCTCTGGATTCCCACCATGGCCTGGGCCCCTCTGCTCCTCACGCTGCTCACTTACTGCATTGGTAAGGGGGGGTTGATCCGGTGAATGAAGCAAATTAAGAATTTATAACAAGCTGTAGCGCTGCTCTCTCTGCAGGCAGCGCTGAGAACGTCGGTTCTGCTCCGTGCTAGGGGGAGTTCTGATGAGCTTGTTTCTCGTTTCAGGTTTCAGTTCCCAGCAACTCCAGTCGCTGAAGGCGTCTGAGTTCGTGTCTCCTGGAGGGACCGTGACCCTCTCCTGCAGCCTGAGCAGTGGGGCCCTCACTGATAATAACTACCCACTCTGGGTTCAACAGAGACTGGGGAATGTTCCTCGGCTGATCATGCACACTACGAGTACCAGGCCCTCGGGGATCCCAGAGCGTTTCACTGGCTCCAGATCGGGTAACACCATGTCCTTGACCATCAAGGGGGCCCTGGCGGAGGATGATGCTGATTATTACTGTTGTGTGTGGACTGGCAGTGCTCATCACAGTGATACAGTCAGATGGGGAAGTGATACAAAAACCTCCCTCCCCCCTGTGCCCTGCTGGGAGCTGTGGTGGCTGCAGAGCCCAGGGTATAAGTGAGGTATTTCGCAAAGCTGAGCATCTCTCCCTGTGAATTCCATCTCTTCCCCCCTCTGCGCAGGGTTGCCCAGCATCATCCCAGCTGATTGCCACAGTCAGATAGAACAGATAAGATATTGTCTCATCCACCTTGTCTCCCTAATATCCTGGGACCAATATGGCTGCAACACGGCAAACAACAGTTAGAAGAAGCAGCCAGGCAGACTGACAGAGAGGAAAGAGAAACCTAAAAGGAAAGAGAAGAAACAAGGAGCAGGAGTCGTTAGCTGAAATTCCATCTCTGGGGCAGTTCCAGTTTCTCCATTCCCCACCCTTCTCCTCCTTCTCCTCCTCCACTTGGCTGTCGACCTACACAGCAGCTGTCTGGGGCGCTGGCTAGCTGGCAGCATCCCGCTCCCTCTTGTTGTCCATTCTTTCTCCATGAAGAAGCCAGGCAGTGAGTGATACCCTGACTCCCCTCTCAGCTCTCTCTGGTTGGGGCTGGGTTTGTGACCCTGGGTGGCCAAGTCCCACTTTGAAGTTGGCTTTCACTCATTGAAGGGATGATTCTTCGTCACCCCCAGTGGGGTGCAGAGTCCTGACAGGAGACCCAGAGAGACCCTGTTTCATGGAGGTGGCAGGGTGCAGGGAGCCTGCACAGATACATTGTGTCCATTGGGGGGAGGGATAGCTCAGTGGTTTGAGCATTGGCCTGCTAAACCCAGGGTTGTGAGTTCAATCCTTGAGGGGGCCACTTAGGGATCTGGGGCAAAATCAGTACTTGGTCCTGCTAGTGAAGGCAGGGGGCTGGACTTGATGACCTTTCAAGGTCCCTTCCAGTTCTAGGAGATGGGATATCTCCATTCCCCACAACCCCTGTGTACCTCCATCCCAGCATGCAGGGGAGTTTCAGGTACAGGAGGAAGCCAGTGGATCCGTGGCTCTGTGTGACAGAATGTACCCCTGTATTCACAGCCTGCACACTACTGTGAGAATCTTTGTACAAGGTATGTCTTGGGAGGTGTCATTAAAAATCTCATAATTTGCTGCTCATTATTGTCTTGGAAAAATATGTGTGGCAACATTATACGTGAAGTTATAAGATTCCACTATATGGTGGTATTAACAGGTGTCCCAAACAGAAGTTGGCAAACAGGTCTGTCCTCAAATCAAGGAATACGTGCCCTGCTTAATTTGCATTTAAGCAGTAAACAGAGGAGGGCAGGAAACAAAGGAAGCTCAAACCGGTGAGAAAAAAGCAGCAGGGAACATCCTTCCCCCTAGACTGTTTGTCTCCTGGTACCCAGCTGGAAATGCTTCTCAAAGAGGTGAAACTATAAAACGGAGGGGCAAACGCCCCTAGTCACCCGTCCCTCTCTCTCTGCCCATCGATTTCCTGCACCTGCAGGGACAAAGGAAGCAGCCTTTGGACTGGGGGAGGGCTCCTGACCTAAGAAGTTTGGCGAGTAAGGCAGCTGAAAGCCTGTGATGACAGAACTTTGCTTTGAATGTAACAGTTTGCTGAGTGAGGCACCAGTAGCATTTTATCTTTATTTTCCTTGTAACCATTTCTGACTTTTAGGCCTCATTACTTGTACTCACTTCAAATCTGTCTCTTTGTCGTTCATAAACTTGATTTATTGTTATATCTAGACAAGTGTGTTTAACTGAAGTGTCTGGGAAACTCCATTTGGGGTGGCAAGTTGTGTCCATATTATTCCTTTTAAAGAAATAATGGACCCAGTACAGCTTGTACAGTGCAGGAGAGGGCTGGGCCGTACAGGACATATGTTTCCTGGGGGAAATCTAAGACAGGGGGTGTGTTGCGGTCACCCTGCAGGATAACCCAGGCTGGGGAGAGACCGAGTGTAACCTGGGCATGGCTGGCAGGCTGCAGTTATACACAGACACTCAGGGTGCGGCTGGCAGGCTGGAAGGCTGTTTGTGATCGGCCCAGCTGGGAGCTCCTTCAGCGAGGCATTGCCAGACACCCAGGACTGCAGGGCAGGGGTGACAGCTGCTCATCACTCTGGATTGTACCCGGGTATGTCAGGCTATGCAGAGCCACACAGGGGATGATGGAGCAGTTCTGCTGCCCTTCCACTGCAGGTGAGCGATGGGGAAAGTTCCATGTCCCTCCTGCACATCGTCTTATTTGCTCAGGCTGTGTCCAGGGCCAGGCATTTCCCATAAGAGGAATGAGGGAGCGACTGGGCTGCAGGGGCCAGAGGGGAGACACTCCTTGTAGTGCACTTGCAGATGGAATCAGCCGGAGCTGCCTGTGCTCTGGGCTGAGCCTGTAACGTCCCCCTGGGAGGAATCTCAGGCAAAGGAAAAGTTTTTGCTCAGCTCACAGATCTGTTGTTTGGCCAGAAGAGGTCACTGGAGCTGCAGAAATCCCCTGGTGGCTGGCGGTTCCGGTGGTTAGTTTGCCATGCCCGGCTCCCTCTCAGCGGCGCTGGAACAATTCTTATAGCGGGGGGGCAGAGAGCCATTGAACCAAACTGCAAACCCTGCATAGAATGGAACCACTTCAAGCCAGGGGTTGCAGCAGCCCCCCCAGCCGCCCTAGCTCCAGCACCTCTGCCTCTCAGTGCACAGACCAGCACAGAGTTCAGTGGCTTTCGGTTGACTCTGAACACACCTAAGTCACCTCTTAACCTTCTCTTTGACAAGCTAAATAGTGAGGGATAAAGTAACTCAGCC